AAGGTCCCTTCCAACCCAAAGCGTTCTATGATTCTATGATCCCAGAACCAGGATCCTATCTCTGACTGAGGCAAAGAACAGATGGCTTGGGAAGAGGTCAGGAGTCAGACAACATTAGTCTTACATCCATAGCGCACCCTCCTACCTTCCAACAATCTGCAGCTCTAATCTTCTAGGCTGACTAGGTTTTCAGTCCCCCAGAAAATGTCCTCTTACAGCTCACAGGCTGACATGTGCCCTCAGCTTACAAAACAAAGAGTTTTGGTAGCCTACAGTTCAGGCCTCTGTGTGATTTAGGGAGTCCATAAAGAATCATGCATCACAGTGTGGCAACCCTTCACTAAGTCACGCTTAACTTTTCCCCAAAAGACTAGTAAGGCTGAGGTCAAGTTTTCACAGGTCCAGTGTTTGTGGGGGTTATCAGAAGACCACATGGAGCCTTCCCTTCCAGTTTTACCACCTGACAGGGGCTGGCAACTTGAGATCTTTGTTCATAGAACTGCTAGAGAAAATATCAGCCACCTGAAAATGCACAGCCCTTTGCCTGATCATTGATATTGATGTTCACTCCAAACAGGTTGAGACTTGGGCCAAAGTCTTCTCTGATCTAAAGCTACTGACCTCACTGGCTTCCTTCAGAGAACACATTTGTACCTTCTATACTTGTGCCAATTGGCACATATTGAGCTTTGCCAGGAAGGTGAATTAAAGTAGTATTTTTCACTGTAGGATCCAGAGAAGGAAAGAAAATCTCAGTAATCCTTTATGTTTTTAAGAGAGATCTTTCAAGTCATCTCTCATCTTCTGGTCATGTTTATCTACAGAGGTGGTTTAATACTGAAGTGGAAGAGTGCTGCACTGTGCCGACGTGCATGTGTATGTGTGTGCACGCGCAGAGCAAGCAGGGCTGATGGACAGTGGAGGACAAACTGCGAGTGTGTTACAGTGTCAGAGCTAAGAGGAAATATTACGGTGAGGAGAAACACACTGGACATACACACCCAGGGCACTGTGAAAGGAAAGAGAGGAACTGTGAAGATGCCAGGTAAATATCTTTCATTAGTCACAAAGAATCACGTTATGGTTTTGCCTGTGGATCCCACTGTTAAATCCTTCCACATTGCAGAAAAGAATTTGGCCTCAGAGGGCTGAGTAGAGCTCTCTCTAGCAGCTTTTTGTGGACTGTGTTGGGGACTAGAAAAGTGAACATGACATTTCTTCTTTTCTCTGTAGGAGCTGTGCATGCCTGATTGTCTCTAGCCACAGTCAGGCCCTACTCATTCCTTTTGTGCTGCAACCATTTTTTCTGTGATATCTGGCACAGCACATACTACAATTGCATCTTTTCCACCCATCTCAGCTGCTGTGCTTAAAGCTGGTGGAAATTGTGCTCTAATCATGAAATGCTGATCAAAAGCGAGAACTTAAAAGTCAATTACTATTATGCTTTAAAGGAAGAAAATTATACAATAGCACTGAAACAGGAAAACCAGCTATTCTACTGTGGGGTAGGAGGGGATGACACCCTAAAAATACATTGTCTTATCCAAAGATTAAACGTTAGGAAGCCCTGGAGAATCTTCTTCACTGGACAAATTGCTTCTTTGACCTTAATAGTTTACTACTAGAAGACAGCAACAAGAATAGCCTCTGAAGACTTAGCTATCTGTATAATTTAATTACTGTACTCTAGATCAACCTCTCATGTTTCTTGACTGATTTTTAGGCCAGGTTGACCTTTTCACAGCCAAAGGGGTCTTCATTAAGATATCTGATCTCTTACTAAAAGTTAACTCTGTCAGGAAGAGCTTTAGTACCCTATAAGCATGTTAAACAGTAGCATAACAGCTTGGCATCATTTCCTCTATTAGTACCTTTAAATGTCAATCTTTCCACAGAGGGCATAAAGCATTAAGGTCTAGAAATCCACACGTTTCCTCCCTCAAATATTGTTTACAGCAGTTTATAATAATACTTTAAACTGATACATACGTTTCATTCCATATATTCTTAGAATAAAGTCCGAATAGAAATTTCTGTATTTATCATATAGCTGATAGTTACCAATGGAATTTGTGAAGCTTTGCAGAAGGATGGACACTACCTTATCACATAAAGTTGGCCATGCCATGTGTGAACAGTAAAAATGATATTAATACTGTGACTAGGTTATAAATACATTAAAATCTGTAAGTCTGCTCAGATGTAAGATCATTACTTTTTCTATTGAGTACACAGATAAGGGTGAGGCCCTCAAAGTTATTATGAAGGGAAAAGAAGTTGCTTTTAAGAAAAGCAGACTATTTTGCCAGAATACTTGTAGCTCACCATATTAACCAGAATACAACAAAACCCAACGTTTTTTTAGAATTTCCTTTAGAAAAGGAAGGCAAGACTCTGACGTAGTATTTTTACCATCAGTTTGTAAAACAACCAGCACTCTTTTTTTTTTTTAACTCTAATGTCTCATTTTAAATGCTCCCACCTTTTTTTTTTTTTTTTTTTTTTTAACTAGGGCTTCCTTACCAACAAATTATGTGTAAGAATGCAAGGGTGAATGAATAAAGTTACTGCTGAAAAATCCTCACTTTCTCAAGTGTTAAACCTGAAACTGCATGGTCTTGGTTCCTTCAATCTAGATCTGTCCAGAGAAAAATAGTTTAATGTGACTTTAAACCTATATTTTGCATATATACACATAAGGAAAATATGAGGAACCGAGGGATTAGGAATGTCTAGACTCCTGAAACTTGGGCCTGACAGCACGACTGGGTTATTCATGCTGCCTCATTAAAGTTAGGAGAATAGTTTTTCTAGATGATAGAAGGAGACAGATCTTTCAGATGGTAATTTGAGGATGTTTGCATTACACTGATTGTGAAGAGGCCAATGTAACTCCACTGATAATATAGGGAGCCTAGGAGGAGTAACCACGTGTTAGTTATCTCATATTGGGCAGAGAGAATTCCCCCTACACACTCATATGCATAAAGGTTGCAGCATGATAGTGAGTGAGTGGAGACAGTCTTTTACTCTTAGCGTGTTCAGTAGATTCAGTAGTTGCCTTCGGTGGGAAAGAAAAAAGAAAAAAGAAAAAAGGAAAAAAAAAAGAGGAGTAGAGTGAATGACTGTTTCCTTGGAGTACAAGGGAATGGCAATCTATTCTGTGCTTCTGAATAAGGCCAGTAGCACACTACTGCTTGGGCCTTGTCTTTGGAAGACACTGAAACCTGACACACTGTGGAACAAACATCCAACAGAAAACTGCCAACTGAGTAATTTTCTTCACTGATTTTAGCCAAGGAAATGCATGGACAGTGAATAAGGCTGTTGGTTGAGCCTTTTAACTGCCTCTACTCTCAATAAAAGCTGGAATGCAAAAATCTCTTGAACTCAGTTTGTAACCATATTAGAAATCTCAGATCATGTAATGTACCTCTGCTGAAGGCAGTGCTAAAGACATCTGGGTCCTTGAAATGTTGGTTTGTCTTATGCTTTGAGTGGAAAGAGAACAGTGAAAACCAAAACCACTAGACAGTTTACAAAAATTCCAAGAAACAGATGTGGGTCTCTTGAACTCAGAAAATACTTCCTATATTTGCCAGTTACACATTAAGCCTAACCTGAAAAGCCTGAAAGTAGAAGGACTTATTATGACTTGCAAGAATTAAGAAGTTGGCGGGGTGGGGAGGAAGAAGAAGAAAAAAAAAAAACATTTAATGCCATTCCAGGGAATTTCAGCAAGAGGAGGGCTACTGGCTATTTTTTCTACTGCCTTTCATTAAGAAGGATTGCTGTGAAGCTGCACCTGAAGTGTCAGATGATGACTACAGCTGAAAAGGTTTTACATTCACTGGTTACTCACACTGCTAACAGTAACTCCCAAACCATAGCATCCATTGCTTGAGTTGATTGCCTTTCTTGAACACAAAGGGGAATATTATCAAGGACACTAGACTTGAAGTGATATCTGGGCCTGTAACTCTCTTGCTTTTGAAAATGTCTCAAGCCATTGAAAAGAAGGTTAAGAAACTCCGTTGGCAACCCTGTACTGCTGCAATATTACTCCGTATATCAGTGGACTGGACTAATGCACTGACTTGACTGGAGGCTGAATGAATTTCAGTACTCTCCAGTGCAAATCTGGTAAGTCAAAATTCACTGAAGGTACTGCAAATATTCTAGACTCTACTGAGCTTTAGGACCTGTCAGATGACACAAAAGCACTCATGCCTAGACACCCCATGGTCTTACAAATACCATTTCTTGTGCTCTGGAACTGACAACCTATCACTCAGCTGCGGGTCAATTAGTGATCACACAAGACCAAGAATACAATATATGGTGTAGCACAGTAAACAGAAAAGGAGCCAGGAGCTGATTAGCTGAAAAAAGAAGGAATGAGAAAAATGTCTCTTACCTGGTCAAGATTGTTGTAAAAATCTATACTGGCTGCACACAGGTATCTCCCAAGCAGAGTCGCATGGGTAGTAAAAATTGTGGCAACAGGAAGTTTCTGAGATCGAGACAGTATTAAACCCACTCCTGCCTGCCACTCATGGAAGTGGGCAATTATGTTGGGCTTGTTGTCAAACTGACAGGAAAGCTGAAAATAATTAAGAAGAACATACATGAAACACATATTATCCTGCTCATCATCCCAGCCTCAGAAACTTCTTTTTTTCATGCCTTCTTCTGTTTGGTTTCTTTCTTTCATATGACAAAGCAGTACAGCATTCTAAGTGGTCATGTGTCTCAATTCCCATCAGCCCTAATCCTTAGCCCAAGAAGCACATGTGCCTCACTAGCACTTCAGAACAGTATTCTTCCTAGAGTGTTGGGGAGCTCTGGCAAGCACAGTCACTCTTCTTTCTAATAACTTGCTCTTCTGCTGTTGAAACTCTTGTTTGGATAAGAAAATCATGAGCACCTATGACAGATTATTCTGCAGATTATCAAAGTTTCTTCTCTTCAGGTAGGCTGTGGTAGAGTGACATGTGAAGACACAGTGCTGTAATTAATTCTTTCTGTTTGCCTCTATTCCGTGTGCAAGGTAGTATCTAATAGCTGAGATATGGCTTGACTGGCTTTAAGGACAGTTTGTTAGTGTGACAACTTGACTACCATAGGAGAGGAAAAGGGAGTTTGAGAACCTACCTGTAAGAGCATCCAGTGACAAATAAGGGAGTTGAGAAGAAACACAGGAGGATCTGACACTAAAGACACAGTGGATTTCACATAGGGTAACACCCTGACCGCCCGAAAAAAGGTTAAATGACCACTTAAGTTTTAAATACAAGTTTGATCTACATTACATATCAACTTCCTTGTCATAATTTTCAAACTGGAGAATAGGAACCATGCCCCAAAGCTTTTTGCCCTGCTGACAAGGCTGAGGTTTGAAAAATCTCTAGATTTATAAACTGTACCTCTTTTAAAAACCAGGCTGTTAATGATCCAAAAATCACAGCATCATTGGCTTCTCGGTCATGAAAAGGGATCCCTATGTTGCTGACATCCCAAAATTCGCCTTTCCACCTGTCCAGATTCCAGGCTGCTGATCCTATATCGAACAGTAAGACGTATGGGCTGCCCTCTATCAGCCATCTTCCAAAAAAGACCTATGGGAAAGAGGCAAGGATATAAGCAGAAAATTTTAGAGTGAATGTAAAAAAGCCAGTTAGCATAACTATTTTCATCCATCAAATCTTAAATATTTTATGTAGGCATATATGATCACAGTCCTACATATCCAGGATTTGTGGTTTTCCTTGCAAAATACATGGAGTAATACTGGGCCAAAGGCAAGAGTAAAAGTAAACTACAATCTTTAGGAACATTTTGTTTTTAAGACTTTCAATTTAGATTTTCATTGCAATGTTAACCTTTTTTTCATGGAAAAAAGCTTAAGACTATACTTGGTTGAATAATGAGGTCTTATGTTCTTCCTGAAGTATATATGCCATTTTTGTTCTTACTTCAAAATTATTATTTTCTTTCAGTCAGACTTGTCACCAATCTTTTGCCATTTATGCTAGATTACTGGTGATAGATTTTGTAGGACAGGTGCTTGGGACCTGTATCTACCATGACATTTCTTCATTCTGACTAAGCAGTGCTCTCCCTTTGGCAGAGCAGAAGGATCAATCAGAAGGTGTAAGAATACCTAAAACCACGTCAGCCTAAAAATACAGCTTTCCTGCTTTGTCTGCATCAGTATAGTTAAATATCTCCAAGAATATTTAGAACTCCACTGATATAACCTACCTGCCCAACCAGGTAACACAACACAGCTGGGCCGACACTACAGATTGTACCAATCTGCACAGTCAAATTATTTCACATTAAGTTTACCATCAAAATGGCTATAGCAGCAGAGACATATTAACTGGGAAGAACAAGGTACTATAGGGAGGCTAGTGCAGTTTATACCCCATGCGGAGGAATCTTTTGTACCACTGTTCAATCTCTTTTCATTCACCAACCCCTGGGACCTCAGGGGTTGCACCCAGCCCTGACACTAGAACAGGCTGAATAGAGGTCAAGTCTTGAAAACAATGGGATGAAAGCTCTTGGACCTGTTTGCACAAAAAATACAGGTTGTGACAAAGACAGGTGTGCGAAGGAGGGCCAGCTCCTTATGTACTTATTTCAGGCTACCAGGTTTCTTATTCAGGAGAATGAGGTTAAAGAGCAGGGAGTTTGCATGAACCCAGACTTCACCTAAATACAGAGTCAGGCTGTGGCAAGGAACACACCTGACCTGAGAAATTTGGAAGCATTCCTATGACTCCTGGTTTAAAGGGATCCATTGTGATGCATAAGCAAAATCCAGACATAAATGTTAATAGGATAAGCGCAGCTCCTGGAAACTAGAGCGTCATTATTGGAGATCAAAGCTATACTTGACGTATCTGGGACAGATTTGCTGCTATATATGAATACTCCAGCAGCACAATTACACATGTTAGGCTGGCAGAGTTGACTGACTAAATTTAATGCATTTATGGAGCAGCACAAAGCGTATATATAACATTGCAATTAGTCTTCCCCACAAGTCTTTAGCTGTTTTCCAAACAAAGGAGTGTTACACAGCTTGCAAGACATCTCTTTGTAATCAACAGAGGCAACATGGAAAACTTGGTCAATCACTTATGAAAATTTGATTAGAAATAAGAAACGGCAGTTAGATTAGACCTTTCAGTTTGAACCTCAGCCTGAACAATGCAAGCATCACACAATGTTAGTGTCCCCACAGACACTTTCCAAAGCTATGGCACATGTACATCCAACAATATGCTTCCATATAATATGCAGTAGGCCACTAGATCCTAAGAACAGCAGAACTGCTGTTACAAAGGGAGATAATACATCACCAGTGCCACAGCTGGTGGCAGTCCAAGAAGTTTATGAATTTCTACATTAAAGTGTGTCATGCCCCTCAGCAACAAAACCTTGTAAGAAGGCTTCCTTGCTGCTGCCTCTCAATGCTTTTCACATCTGTTCAGCACACATTATAAGCAGATAATTTTTCCTCCTGCCAACTAGCATTTCTGAGGGACTCAATGCTGAAACTGAATGAAGGTGAGTTCTAGATCTCTGATAAGGATTTTCAAGAAAGGAGGTCAGATTTAGCATTTGTTATCTTCCACCCATTTTCAGGTAATCAGTTGTCCTCAAGGCTGCAGCTGCTTGCAGCTTAGTAGCTTGCCCATCAACACAGTAGATTCTATTCCTTTCAGCAGATCACCTTGATAGGAAGATGTTTATTCCTAGTTTACTGTTGGAGAAACTGAGTTATGAAGAGGCTATGAGGTTTGCCTGAGATCACAGAGAGAACACTGGTTAAAAGTCATGTAGGAAACACAGATGAACTCACTCCTTGTGCTGTGGTTTAACCTCTCTTCCTAGGGAACAGACAGCTAGTTGCACTGATCTGAGGAAGCAGATTCTTTGTCAGTTGGGTGCTTTTCTTAAGTCCACCTGTGGCTTGTCCCTTTCTGGCTTTCAACTCAATACAATGCTACATAAGAAAAACTGTGACCTAGTAGAATGCTTTTCTCTCTCCAGCACAAGAACATCAAATGTAACATAAGGGTTCAGTCAAAGTAAGGTCATATCTACTAAAATCTCACTGTATTTAGAGGCTGGATAAATAAGTCATTAATCCAATTAAGTAGACTTGCAGTTAAATGACTGTTAAAACCTGTAATTGGATAAACTGGTTCTTCCTCGAAAATAACCTTTAATGAATTGTCTCTGCCGTTCCAACAGTGGATTCTGAGCCTTTCCCATTGTGACATTGACCAGGACTGCTGTGTCAAGTGGAACGGCAAGAGCATTAACCAAAACTGTAATCTCCTCAGAGTCAGCTTTGTTGCCCTGGGAAGCAGTAGCACATCTGATTTACCTGACACCCTTGGCCTTTCATGGTGTCCATTGCCTTCTTAACTGCGGGGTTTGGAGGCTCACATGCTTCCACCTGAGTCTTCACATTGTGCTCAAAATAAGGACCAACCAGAAAATAGTTTTCACCCCATTCATCTGCCGTAATTTTGGCTTTTGTCTGGATCACAGTGTAAATGCCTCCGACTGCAAAAGAAGAACACAAAGAATAAAAAGTAGAAAGAGGCACAGGCCACAAAGCTCTGGAATAAGCCCCAACCCTCCTGTGGATCAGATACACGTCTAGTTAAATCAATTCACATAAACCCAGACTCTATCAAATAACTAGAAGTTCAGTCTCTTAAATTGAATCAGTGCTTTACAGTTCAGTTTAGGAGTATGCACTGATAGCAGACTGTGTGTAATTTTTAAATGACAATTTAACGCTTTGCTTACTCCTGGGTGACTGCATATGGCTTCCCTGAATTTTTCCTCTAATCTCAAATGGATGCTTTCTATCCTTAGCTGTTATTTTTATCTAGTCTGTGATTTTTTAAAATTTCTTTTAGGTGTTCAAGTCACACCACAAATGTTCAGCCAACATACTATTTTATTCTTATGTTATCTTTTTGGATCCTGAAATCTTTACATTCAGATTGTGGGATTCAAATCCTGGAACTCATGCTTCCACTCTCCCATGCCTTATCTTGATTCTACTGCATCCCAAGTACAGCCTTCTGCTTTTTTATTGCAGCAGTTAGAATTTTCAAACATATTTTTTGTGATGTGGAAATACATGTGGTGAGAACAATACATGTGGTGAGAACAATACATGTGGTGAGAACAATACATGTGGTGAGAACAATACATGTGGTGAGAACAATACATGTGGTGAGAACTGAGCTGGCTCTTCCAGTTTGTTTCACACAAATCACTGAAAGAAGTTGAGGGACTGATGGATCTCATTGACTACCAGCTATAAAAATGGATTTAGACCAATATCCTCAAAGCAAAAGGTGTCATGTTCCATCACCATTCCAAAGAGTTGTTAAAGTTGGAAGGAACATAGTCTATGTTGCCAATATAAATGTCTGCAGTACCTTTCACCAAAACATTGTCCATTTTAAAAATAAACACAATATAAAAATGTATAAGAGAATTCACTAACAACATCCCCTGACGAGTCAGTACAGATGTATCTAGTCTTGCACATGGTATGCAAGATTCACTTGGCTGCTCTTCCTCACAGTTTTCAATAGCTAGCCCCATAATTCACGCATTGGCAGCGCAGTCTTGCAAAGCCCCCTTTGCCACAGGGCCCACAGTGCCAGGCAGTGGGCATTCCACCACCACAAATTTGCAAGAACAACAACGCATGCTTGAATCCAGGAAGTGGAAGGGAAGGCAAGGGAAGAGAAAATTAGAGACTAGACAGCTGCTGTACATCAAAGACAGGTTTAGCATAGCTCCAGTGATTTTAAAGAACACTAAGACAAATGAAGCTCAACAGGTACAAGCAAACAACAAAGGAAGCAACAGGAAGGGAACTAATGTTCCTACTTAAAAATTTCATCCTCCACTGAATTTGAAAACGTTCAGTAATACTCCAGGCAAGAAGGCTGTGCTATGCCTTTCAGCAGTGACATCAACATTACATAAGAAGCCAGCACTGCAAGTTGCCACTGATTGATAGCAGGTATTCCAGACTTACTTTTTAAAAGGTACTGGAGCATCCAGAGGTACCAATGCACTGCATCTAACTGCATATGACAAAAATCTTCAGAGGTTACCTTATTCTCCTGAAAGATCTGCAGCAAAGGACCACCACTTACAGTACAGCAGCTGAAGTTGCTCAACATTTTGGGAGATTAGTTCCCAGATTACTTAAACTGTATCACCTGACAACTGCAGAAAGCCTTCTGCCAAGCCTGGTACCTTGTAGCCCTGAGGAACTGAATGACAGAGCTATGTTTTTAATTGTGCTCCTAGAAAAGAAATAGTGCACTTAAAATCCTTTTCTTTAGAAATATCACATTTGTTTTGAATGCTTGAAGGGTCCCTAGCCCTACTATTTTTATGTCAAGATGTCTCAGGATTCTAGGTGTTTTACAAAGAAAAACAAATGCAGTTCCAATCTCCCTGCTTGCTAAGTGGAATTATTACAATAAACTATTACCCTACATGGTAATTCAAGACCTAAGAAGACAAGAATCTTACAGGTATATGTTCCTAAATCAAGCTCACAGTTCAAGAGTTTCACATCATACAGACATGGAACTGCAGAAGGAAATCTATGCATAGGACTATTCTTCACTTCATTAGGATGAGAAAGCTAAGTAACTTACAGTCGCCATATCCTACCATGGCTGCTCTAGACAGGGATTTAGAGAACTCTTAGGTTAAGTGACACTATATATTCCCTCCATGTTCCTCTGCTCACAAGCTGAATAGCTTGGATTCAGATAAACATATAATTTTAATTCTATAAGACAAGTCAGAATGTTCAACCCATAAAGTGATACGGTAACAATGACATGTCTGTTCTTATGGGGTGGTAAGTACGACGTATGAGCATAAGAAACTGCAATCCAACATGGATAAATAAGGGGCTTGGTAGAAATCTTAGTCATGAAACTAGTTGGTTTTAACTGGCAGAAATACTGAACTTAAAATATGGAAAGATTTTTGTGCAAAGCAGCCTGGAAAAAAAACCAAGCTGGCATGGAAAGGGGAACTAAAATGTTTGGGAAAGAGGGATTTTGTTCATTTAAGAGAATTTTGACCTGGTTTTAGAGGCCTCTTTAAAAAACAGAAGATGAAAACAAAACATTTTCTCAGAAAATATCTCTTAGAATTATTTTTAAAATTTTGAATGTTTTCATGTACGTTGCCGCTACTATGAATTTGTCTGAAGGAGTTATCTGCATCACTCCAGCCATTTTCTTCTTTCCTCATTTCAAGTCCTGGTGCATTATTTCTTTTGTATATTTAAAATCCAAGCAGCAATTAGAGGCCTCCAGGATAGACATCAGAACTATCTAAATAAATAAAAAGTCTGAGAGTCAAGAAGAGTCTCCTGATATCATATCACTACTGACGACATTAGGCAGAAGTGGAGATCTAACTATGCAACTGGAGATCTTTTTGCAAGATCTAATACATAGATGTGCTCTTTCTGCCGCAAGCCGTAATATGGAAAGATGCATTGCCAATGCTTTTTGTCATCTGATGAGGAAGGGTCCACAACTTCCAAGACTATCCAGGAATTGTGCTGACAAAAAATGTCTTCTGGAGCTGCGATCCTTTGCGCATGGAATTGTCAAAACTTCTCAAAACTGCCAGAGATAACCACCACTAATTTTACTCGCTCTCCCACCCACCCCACATTACAGAAGGACAGAGGAAAGGAGCAGCAGAAACAAAAAAGGAAGGAAAGAGACAGGAAGCGAAGCTATGCAAGTGAGACGGAGATAAGTGCAGATTGTCGCTGATTGCCGAGTCCTTCCCCACACAGCTTTGCTATACAGAGACAGAGGATCAGGGTGCTTCCAGGGCTCTTTAGCTTCTTTGCTATAGCTTGACCAGGCCACTCAAAAGATACTAAAGCTTTCCTGAGGACCATGGCTGCCATGGAATCCAAGAGAGCAGTGGGACCCCAGATGCAAGATTCAAATTGACTTCACTGCCACAAGTACTAGTTACATCAACTATCCTTTCGCCCCTTCCCCTCAGAATGTGTCTCTGATCTAGAGATGTGACAAAATTGGGCTTGAACTGACTTTTTCCCAATATTTGGTTGGAACTTCATTTATTTATTTATTGGTTGATTGCCTGTTGAGATATCTGGGGACCATTTATAGAATAAGGTTGTAAAACATGTCAGGTGAAAAAACCCCAATATCTTCAGATAGCAGATGTTTTTCATGTATTTTTTGGCTACATTTATGGCCAGGACTCATCAGAAGATAGAAGTTCTCTATATTCTGTGAAATTCTGGCACTCCAAACATATTCTGAAATAATACTGAAACACTGAAATTTATGACAGATGTCCACATTATAGAAGCTATTTCTGTGTGCATCATCCCCAATGCACAAGATTTCATTTGAGATTGATTTGATGTTGACATACCACCCCACTCTAGAAATGCACAGAGCTTTGATGCTGTGTTTATGCCAAGTTTATGCCAGCACATCCCCACTCCCCAAAATGTGTTAGTTCAGGTGTGTCACAGATTACATCATTCACCTTCTCCCAAGGAACTTTCATCATGGAAAGACATTTAACACAGAGGAGGTAAAATGCCAGTCCTACTGACTTCAGTGGATTCAGGATTTAATTTCCAAGAGTCCAGATCTTCACCAGAGAAATTGTACATAGAGCTCTGCTCCTGGGAGAGCTGAACCAAGGTTTGTTTTTAGCAGAGTCTTCATTCCAATAGGGATGGAAAAAACATGTTTAGGATTCATCTACCAGTGACTCTTGAGCTAGTCTGTTCACAGCTGAATGATGATATAAACTGGCCTTTTGCCCAGCATTTTTAAGCATTCTTCTATTTTCTATCTAAAAGCTGTTAGTTGTACAGCAGGCGATACTAATCTAATTATTACTGGAATGATTTTCAAGACATCTTTATAGAACACAGACCAGATCTTGAACATTCTCAGCCCTTCCTATTAATGTATCAGAAAATCCACTAAACTACATCTAACTGTTATTCTAACACAGACTTAGACTTCTTCCCCTCCCCCCCTAAATACTTCAGTTTTCAGTTGGCAAACATTTAAAAGAGATTAAAGAGGATGGAGCCATTGTCACTGTGGAAAATGTCGAGGACTGCTGCCATTACTCCTGCAATGGCCTTTGGCTGCTCCCTGTTGACAATTTCCATCTGTGGGGCTTCAGACACAAGATCTACATAGCTTGTAGCCACTTGGTTTGTGCTCCTGTCCTTAAAGTTTTTATTGGTATTATGTTACAAAGGAAAGAAAACCAGTCGTCTTTTCCAATGTGCACAAAGATATGACCAGAGCTGGCTTTAGCAGAGCATGGTGTCCAGGAGAGAAGGGGAATGATGAAAAACGCTGAGCTTCCCCATGATTACCACCAGATCATGGGGCACTGCGGGCCCAGTGCATTGGGGCCCTTGCCTGCCTGCTTTTTTCCCCTTCTGCCACAGAAACACAGTAGATCCACTTCACAGCATGGGCCTTGCCCATCAGTGAAGAGCCAAATAAAGTGAGGGAAATCTTGCAAAACAAACTACACTTTTCTCATTTCTTTAGCAGGAGACTTTCATTGCAAGATGATTTCAATGTTGTGCTTGGTTTAGGTGACAAGTTCCTTTTCACATGACTTGGGGCAAAGGGGAGGAAGAGTGACACTGGCAAATCGGCCTTTTTTATTTCTCATTCTCTCCTTCACCTACCTTGTCTTTGCTTGCTCCAGACAGAGAAGAGGAGAAAGAAGAGTAACTGAGATGCTGGTGCTTTCCAACATATATGTCAGAGGTTGCCACGTAGCACAGGCAGCAGCCAAGACAGAGAATATAAAAAGGAAGCATGGAGAAATAGAAAGCTCTGCCTTGTTACAGCATGTGTTAAATTATCTGGCCTTAAAAAAAAGAAAGACACCTTCACTGTGCCAGCTGCTGAGAAAGAAGTGATAAGACTCTGGAAATAATGGATACTTGTAGGTCTCTGAGCACTGAATTCATACAACTGACACATCCTTCCCTACAGCTGCATCTCATGCCTAAGTACCAACCAGCACCATCAGAGAAAGCCCAGTAAACACTTGCTCCTTATGGGCAGCCTGGCACATGAAGATCCTCTCACGCTACGTAATCAGATGTGCTCCAATTTGCAGGACCCCTTCATCATCCTCAGACTCTGAAGGAGAATATATTTAAGAGGTTCAGAAAACAGCTCAGCACCTGTAAGGGGCACTGTTCACAGCTGTTAGAATAGATAGCCATCTGTGAGCTCTGGTAGCATGTTCCTCATAGGGAAGATGACATTCAGCCTTATTAACACTGCCACAGAGAAATGGAGGAACCACTAAGAAGCAGCAGTGGTCAACAAGGAAATGTATCCATAGCCAAGCACCTAGTGATGTGCACAAAGTTAACACAAAGACATGAGCTCTTCTCTCCTGTAGGCAGAAGTAGCTTTACACCACTTTAGCAGTGCAAACCAACTTCATGCTGAACTACTCTGACAGAACTTTGCATTGCCAGAAAGGAAGAAACCTTCCCGTTAAATGCTCAAAATTAGCTTGTCAGGCATTAAACCCAGATAATGCTTATCTTGTCCTCTATATTAGGAACATATACAGCAACATTAAAACTAAAACACTGAAACACCTAGCAGTACTAATCTATGTGGGGTCAGCCTACTTAGTCAAATAAAGTTCTTCCTTCTGCTAAAGGAGGCGGGAAATATACAGTGTAAGCTATTATTTCCTAAGTCTGTATCTTCTGTGATGACTCTCCCTGTATTTTGTTAGCTACTCTCTCTCCTAAGAAACACTGTGCCCTAATATTTCCCAAATTGTTTATAAACATTAGGTCACCAGGGAACAGTATCCCACCACATGACTGAGACATTCAATTCCCTGGAAGATATAGAAAAAAACCTTCAGTATCAAGAATTCACCAGAAAAATAAGCTGAAATAGGCTTATTAAAGAGTTTTTGCACAGATGTTTCCAGTCAAGGTTGGTTAATGGAAACTCTGCACAGAGATTTGGTTCTAATGAAGAAATTGTTTGCCACGACTAGTTCAGTCAGCCCCATTTGAATATATGGGTTTGATAAGTGGTGTAATTCACAGTGCCTTGTTTTTAAACTAACTGAATAAATATCCACTGTCATAAATATTAATTATCTCATAAAATGTGAGAATAATAAATTTTAGCTGTCAGTTGATTTGGCTTCAGGTAAGTCAACAAGAGCTACATGGATGATTAAATGATTCACTGCATTTTGTACATACACAGAAAGACAGATAAATCTAACTGTGTTTTACTTTTTCTTAAACATATTGTGTGACATCTATAAACAGCGGGTCCAGATGACCAGAAAATATATATACTATAGAGTTCAGAGACATTAGCGAGAACACCTGAATTTGCTAGATTTCTGCTGCCATCTGCTTGCCAGTGCTTTACTTATCATGCACACTGCAAAAGTAAATGCTGCATGCTCCAAGTTCTGGCAGTAGTAAATTAACTCAAAAAGCTTGACTGAAGCTACTAAAAAATAAGCCCACAGGGATTCAAAGTGCAAAAGCTACTCTGTACTATCTCTGTGTATTGATACTCCTTGCCACCCTAAAAAGAGCAACATAAAATTACACGGCAGTGCAGATTAAATACCAGAAGCTATCACAGAATTGTAATTCCAGTTTCACCATGGGGATAAACCCTAGCATGATCTGTTCCTCTCACACATATTTCCCCTTTAGAGTTAAAATCTTAACAGATTACAGATCCCCTCTCCTGACTAATGTCTCTGTTTATCTGCCAGGACAAGAAGACATATGAGGTCAATCATTTACTCATACTACCTCACTTTTGTGGCAAAACCAGAGCCTGTTCCCCCTTGGTGAACTACACCTAGCTGAAAGGGGATGATTTGATGAGTGAATTAGAAATGAAGGCAGAAAGATCTTTACATAACAACCAGCGTGCACTTTGCCAAACAAGCTGCATGCAGTGAACAGATTTTCGGTCTGTACACACGCACAAAGCATGAAGTCCCTGCCTGGCACCACTTGTGTTTGTAAAGACCAGTCCAAAAGGCTTTCAGCTGACATAAAGACTGCTGGTCATTGACATCTGGCTTTTGTTCAGTGGCTTCAACGCAGCTATTTCAAATTTGGCCTCTTCTCCGCACTGCTATAGAAGGCTGAGGGAGACTGCTGAAGTGATCTGAATGTGATGTCTGTTTTACAGCTCATTTTCATGCATTACATTCCCAAGTGCATTTGCATGGAAGGTAAAATATAAATATGTACAAAACAACATCTATCTATCCATACATCTGCACACCCAGACATAACACTTGGATGTTTGTTTAAACATCCTAGCCCTGGTGATGAAACATGTAAAGACACACAGACGTCCTGACTATATGCTCATCCCACACAAGCACAAGCAGATGCAGCCCACACGCGGCCTGCACGATTACACACGGATGCCACATTCACTCCTAACAGTACAGTAGCTCTGCAGCCCACTTTTCCCCAATCTCCCCTTAATGCCTTTCATGTCCAAGTCCTTCACGCCTCCCCCCACTCCCACGAAAACAGCAATACCCACTCCTGAGAGTGTTGTACAAACCTTTGTTGGTAACTTCCCAAGAAACTTCAAAGAGCAACAAATCCTCCACCGGCAGGTCTTCATCCTCCCATTGAGGAAGCCCGTTAAGAGAAGTCATGGACAGGGATCTGGCCAGTGGCATTTTCTTCAGCCCTTGAACGCTCACCACACAGGCCACGACAGTTAGCAAATGTCCAGTTAATGTGGTGGTTCTCCGCAGTTCTGGTTGGAGCAGTCTGCCAGTCTTCTGGGCTCCAAGGAGAAAATTTATTCAGATAGCTGGGAGCTAATGGGTTTAAACTGTCTGACCACCAGCATTAAATTGGCTCAGTGAAATCCTCAGGGCTTGAGAACCAGCTGCTCTCAGAGGTAAGAATTTAAGACTGACCCGAGAAAGGTCTTCACTGTTTTGGCGCCAGGCCTCTTTCTTTTTCTTCTCTTAGAGGGAGGTAAAAAATGGTTTTGAGCTCCTCAGCCACAGCATTCAGTATCTATCACCCCAGGAAGAACTGAAACTCAGCGGTTGTAAATTCAGCACTCCCCTGAGCAAACTCCAGCAGGGAGGACACTTTGAGTTCACCACCTGATGTGAGTCCAGCCCCTGAGTCCTCCCCTCGAGATACACCCTCCCATTAACACCCATGGACTTTCTGTATCCAGTGGCCACATACAAGCCAGGCTAATAGACTTGTTCTACATGACACCTCTAAGATTACTTGTCAGGTTAAACACTGTTACCTGGTCTTGTGCAGCTCATCAGTCCATGAGCACTAATTTACCTCATACCCTTCCTCCACAATTAACTCCAGTTGCATCCCCAGGGCTCTGCACAAGCTGTTGGCTTCATTCTGCTCTTGAGCAACCCTGCAGCCCTGAGAGCTTCTACAAACAGAGGTACAAATGCTCTATGCCTACTTTGGCACGCACTTCAGCCCTCCCTGTGGTCCTGGTCCCTGATTTTCCTTCTGGTTTCTCTTTTTCTATGCCACAGGTCTTTCCCGGCCTCTGGGCCCATGTCCTCTGCCCAGGGAAACTAGTGAGTAGTAAGTCAGGGAACAGTATGCCCCGTCTTGCTCCAGCACAGAGCTGGGATGCTGCGAGCGGTGCACACACGTCTGCAGAGATGTTGGTCCCTAACTCAGAACCTGACATCCTCAAAGCTCCACAGAGCAGCTGCCTGCTTGGAATATGCTTATGGCATCTAGTTGAGAAGCCACTGCTTCTGGGACAGCTGTGTATGTTGAATCTGATTCTGAGCTTAGAGCACAACCTGCCCAAAATCTGCAGTTCAGCAGTGAGCAAATCTCCAGGTGAGATCCAGGGCATCTCTGGCACTGGGATGAGGAACATTGCACCAGCAGGCATGGACTACATAGTAGCATAAGAGGGAAAGGCTCTGAGCTCACTTAAGACAAAACCAGTCCAAGGCAATTGCTTTACAAGACAGGCAACCCATCCACATAGACATCTCTTAGACATAATATAATACAGCTGAGCCTACTTTAACGGCTAACTATCCCCCAAAAGACTTGCACTTCCACTTAGACTTCCCATGCCCTCTCTGCACTTATGGCAGTCAGACCCATCCCTGAGCTGATGGATACAGTTCACCAAACTAACCTAAGGACGCAGAAAACTTTTTTGCCAAGTTAGGAATTAGAGCTGTTTAAGCAAAGGGCCTGGCAAGAGGGGATGGAGCAGCTAGGACCATGGAGAGATGGGAAAGGTGAGAGCAAATGCTGCCTCGCCTTTCCAGCCAGTGGAGCTGGCAGGCGGGCTCAGCTGCGCTGTGCATTGGGGGAAAGCGGTTTCCCTTCCAGGTTAAGTGGAAGGCATTACAGCCTGCCCAAGGAAGGGCTCAGGGTTTTATTGGCTGGGTGTTTTTTTGTCTTAGCAGTTTGAGTTGCCCTATTTACCAGTTTATGACAAAAAGCCTGGCCGAGAATGATTATTTTTGGAGCAGCTGTGACTTTTACTACCTGGGGTAGGTAGGAAACCATATCATCTTGTAGGTTAAAAATCTTGTTACTTAAAAGAAGAAACAGTAATATTTCAAGCTCACTTAATTTCTGAACCATCAAATCTGCCTGAGTCTCATTTTCACACTTTTCCCTGGAAACCCTGAGGGTGAGGCTGAAAGCTGCCAGTCTCACAAAGGCCATCTCAGGTGGGGAGTGGAGAAGGTAAGAACAAAGCAGCCCACAGGCCCATCCTAATCCCAGAGGCTTTTGTCAGCCCTGTCTCAACACATACGCTGCAAAACCAGACATTTTAAACAAGACAGCAGGGGCGGTTAGCCCACAATCTGCCTCACTAATTGTGGCCTATAGACAGGGTCCTAAAGCCCAGAGGCTGGCAGCTGCTTCCCACATAATACTATGAATTTTATGAATTTTACAATGAGGGTGGTGAACAGGTTGCCCAGAGAGGCAGTGGAGGCCCCATCCCCAGAAACATTCCAGGTCAGGTTGGATGGGCCTCTGAGCAACCTGATCTGGTTAAAGCTGTCCCTGCTCGCTGCAGGGGGTTTGGGCTAGATGATCTCTAGAGGTCCCTTCCAACCCAAAGCATTCTATGATTCTACTCATACTCATCTTTAGTACACTCAACAGGCATGTGCAGGTCAACCAGGGGATCAGGCCCAGCCATGTGGTGATGCATCCCGCTGCCTGCCCCCCCCCCCTCTCTTTCTCTTCAACGGGCTTTACAATCTCAGGAATTCCAGGCCGCCGCTTTTGTGTAGCAAGTTAGTCAGTTAAGCATGCCTTAATTGTAACAGAAACTCCTACATGGCTGGCGCAGAGGGAGGCTCTGGTCTTCA